GGGGGGGGGGGGGAAGTAGGGAGCTAGACTAAATGAGGGAGGCGGGAAGGGGCCGAGCAGCAGCAGCAGCAGCAGCAGCAGCCTTTAGTCATAGTACTGCCCAGCATCATGGTAGCCGCTGGCGCCGTCGGTGGCGCCGGCGCCGTCGGTGGCGGAGGCCGTGGCGGCGGCCGTGGCGGCGGCCAGGCGCGCATCCGGCGTCGCAAGCAGCGGCCGCATGATCGGCTCGCGATAGTACAGCCGATCCGGCGCCGGATAGGCCGGCCCCTCGACCGGCATGGTCAGCCGCAGTCCTGCCAGGTCCAGCCCGGCGACCACATCCAGCGAGGTGTCCGCCGTGGGGGAGCTCTCGCCAGAGGACGACCCGGGCACCGGGCCGCTGTGTGTCCAGGCGAACAGCGAGGGCGGATCCAGCAGCGGCCTTGAGGGGGAGGCCAGCTGCTCGCGAGTCGGTGGCAGGAACATCCGTCGGAAGGTCCGCTCCAGCAGCCGCCGCAGACGTTCCGAGTAGCCCTCCTCCAGGCCGGTGTGTGGCGCAACCGAATCCACCGAGGGGGCATCATCCGAGGCGGAGTCCGGCGAAGCGGGCGTATGGTCCCGCGGCCCGGCATTGGCCCCGAGCGACGTGTGCGTCAGCATGGTCGTCGGCAGGTCCAGGGCCCATTGCGACAGGGACCGCCGGCCGGTTTCCTGGCGCCGGGCCTCCACCAGGCCCACCAGGCGCCGGGTCAGCGGCGGGATGAGCCACATCGTCAGCCCGGAGAGGGTCATGATGACGGCCGTCAAGATGGCCGGCCCGCGGCCGGCCGATCCGTTCAGCGCAAATACACCAAGCATGGTCAATTGCCAGAGAGCCAGGGCCACGGCGCCGGAGCGGTGCGTACGCGGCCACAGACGGCCTCCAAGTTGCGCCGGGTTCCGGTGGACATAGATGAAGTTGTACCGGTGGACCAGGGCCGAAAATGCGAAGTATGCGAAGGCAAAGCACAGGATCATCGGGTACTTTGGGCGAGGTAGCCGGGAGCCACAGAGCCGGCGGGATGCGCAAGTGTGGTGGTGGCAGGGCGTAAGCTTCTTGTTGAGCGAGGGAAAGGCCCCCCCTCCCGCCCTCCCCCCCCCCCCCGCCCTTCAATTCAAAGACAACGCACCATCAGCGAGAAGACCAGCGAAATGACGATGATCAAAGAGTCCCACGCATAGCGAGCGGCAAAGAGGAACTCCCGCTTCGGGTCGTTGAAGCCCCCGAGGAAGATCTGATTGAAGAGCCTAAATGCCATGGTGCCAGCCACAGGATGGCGTCGTGGGTTAGCTGCGGGTGGCGAAAAAGGCGGCACACAGAACAGGGCGGAGTATGCGCATGTGCGTAAGGGGAGGAAAAGCGGGGGCGGAGAAAGGAGTGGGGGGGAAAAAAAAGAGGAGCAAACGCACACAAGGAACATGTATCCCGGCTGCAGCAGCTCCAAGCTCAGGAAGGAGAACTTCACCAGGCAATACTCGATAAAGAACATGCCCTGGCTCGGGAGACTCTGCGCCAGCAGCAAAATTAGCGACACATCTCCGTCGAAGATCTCCTCCAGGCGGGCCAGCAGGGACCCGGCCAATGTCGACACCAAAAAGACATTGATCACCAGGAAGGTGAGGAATCGGTCAAACATATGGCGGTCGGACCGGGTGCGGGTGGGATGAGCCTGCGCATTTGAAAG